CATGTTGGACGTTTCACTGTCCAATGTGGCGATGTAGGAGATTTTGTTAAGTTAAGACTATTTGGAAACTCGTTGACAGGACCAGCTTTTGCTTGGTACGTCAACTTGCCGTCTAACTCCATCCAGACTTGGCAACAGATGGAACAAGTCTTCCACGCTCAGTTTTACAGATCTGAGCCCGAGGTGTCCATGGCTGACTTGGCACGTATGCGCCAACAGCCATGGGAATCGGTTGAGCATTTCTTGACTAACTTCAAGAATGCCCGTAACCGTTGCTTTGTCAATTTGACGGAGAGGGAGTTCGTCAAGCTGGCACAAGGGGGTTTGAGTTTTGAACTAAGGAAAAAATTCCAAGATAGGGAGTTCTCTGACTTGTTTCAACTCATGTCTTGTGCCATGAGGTATGAGTCTCTTCTACATGAAGAAGAGAATTGTAGGAGTGCCTCAAGAGGACCCTACTTCCCAAACCTAGACTACACTATCAATCATGTTGGCCACGAGGCTAATGAGGTCGAGGTGGACTTGGCTGAGATAATTCCAGGGAAGCCATACGTGTGTGCCTCCTTGGCTAAAGTTGAAGATGGGCTGCAAGGGGGAAAATCCAATCGTGCTCCCATTCAGCCAAGGAAGTACTCCTTTGACGTCTCCAAGGCAGACTTGATTTTTGACCAACTCTATAAGGATGGTGAAGTCAAGTTGACAGGGGGGCATGTCTTTCCCTCACCCGACAAATTAAAAGGGAAAAAGTATTGTAAGTGGCATAATAGCATGTCACATGCCACTGATGCTTGTGTGGTGTTCTGTAATGTCTTGCAGGATGCCATTGAAAAGGGACGTATCAAGTTCCCTGAAGCAAAGAAGGATGCCATGTTGGTGGACACTGATCCATTCCCCAAGGTGCTTGGCATAAACATGGTCAACCCAGACTTCTCCAAAGTCGAGTTACCACGCTTCAAGCTGGTGTTGGATACAACACCGCCTCAAAGGAGACCCAACGTGGTTTTCGACCAAAGAAGCTCGTCATGTACCAAGCAGGCCAACATTGCCGCAATGATGACTGATGAAGTTGAGAAGTTGTGTGCTCATTGCAAGAAGAGTTTTAAGGTTGACGAAGAGAAGTCGAGATGTCCATCTGGGGGGCAGGTGGTCTCCAAGAAGCCACATCAACCCAACGCCTCACATGTTTGTGATAAATATGATAATATGGCTAAGTCTGGACAAGAAAGCATGCCACCAATCACAAACAGTGGACATGGGGGCAAGTCCAACAAGGAAAGACGTGGAAAAGGCAGAAAGAGTTGTCACAGTCTCGCAAATTTGGCTAAGTCTGGACAAGGGAGCATTTCACCCACCATGAAGAATGGAGTAGACAACATCTCCAAAAAGACAAAAGAAGTCAAACCCTCACATGGATTTTGTAAGCATGAGATTATGGACAAGGAGGATTGGGGGGCAAGTCCATGTTAATGAATAGTAAGTACTCGTCACTAACCACAAAGAGTGTACATGGGGGCATGTATAAGAAGTCACCATACACACCAGCCAAACATGGCTGCAGAAAGAATCAATGGTGGTTGAGTGCTAAGTGTAATTAAGGGCCAACAAGGTTTATATATTGAAAGACGAAGACAAGGAAGCTACACGAGTGGTTGTCAACTTGTCAAGCCTAGACCTGGTCCCCAACATCGTGAGGAGATTAAGCATTTATCAAGTGGGAGGAAATCAAGGCAGAAGAATAATCATGATAGCCTTGACATGTCAAGTAAGGTGGCCCAAGCAAAGAAGCATGAGGCCTCATGCAAGGCCACAAAGACTAGACAGGCTCACTATGTACCACCCATTAGTAATCTAGAAAATTCAAAGTTAATGTATGAAGATTCATCTCCCATGGAGGAAAAGAGTCATGTGGTCTATGGATGGCATGTCTGATTTGATCCATGGACTTGGCAATGGATGTACACCTTTGGTACATTGATTGTTGCCAAAGGCTATGGAGAGCAGTGACATTTGTCACTTCTTGCCATATAAAATAAATAAATTTATATAATGTACTTATTATATATTAGTTATAAAAAAATATTGTAGCCAACCATGGCTAAAAGAAAATATAGAAGGAAAATATCAAAGTGAAAATCTTGAGTCAGAGTTGTTAGACTTCGACATAAAGATCTTGCCACCAAGTTATTGTGATGGCTTGACATGACGAGCCATGCATCAGGCCATGTCATGCCATGTTATCTTGTCCCGAGTAGCCACGGCCTGGGGGGCATGATGGCTTGAAACGTGGTAGTAGAGGAGTGGTGACCATAATGTCTCTACCAACATAAAAATGGACATTATTTTTTCTAAGGCAAAAAAGTAGACGGCTTGACTTGTCGCGAGGGAGCTGTCTAGCCTTGTGACGAGGTGAGATGAGCCAATTTATGCAAAAATAGGTGCGAAAAAAAATTCTAAGTTATTCTCTCAACCATGTGGCTAAGTACGAGATGTCAATGAAAGTGTAGGTGATAAAGTGAGGTTGGTGTCTCGTTGAATGCATTAGGTGGCTTGATCATTAAAAGCCAAAATTTGGCTAAGGCATGGGACAAGTCGTTGACGTCGAGTTCCATCCGGCCATGTTGGCATGATCATTGAAAGCCAAAATTTGGCTAAGGCATGGAACAAGTTTTGACGTCAAGTTTCATCTCCCCTTGTTGGCTTGACGTGAAAAACCAAAATTTGGCTAAGGAAAGGGCTAAACTTTGACGTCGAGTTCCATCATGCCATGTTCGCTTTACGTGATAGTCAAAATTTAACTAAGACATATGACAAGTTATGACAACGAATTCCATCCGGACGTGTTGGCTTGATTACTGAAAGTCGAAATTTTGGCGAAGTAAAATTGGTGTGTTGATAAGCCAACACGTTACTTGATAGCTTGGTGGTGTTCAACTACTTAGTCCATAATTCATATGCACTAAGTAGTTGGGGGGCATTTGTTTATACCTAAAAAAATAATCTTGTACCACATTGATTATTTACAAGGCATTTATTATCTTTATAAGCCCAGATCATTAATGACAATTAATGTAATTTGAACTGGGCCTCATGATAATAATTTTAAGCCCCAAACTACTAAGTACGTATCCAAGAAGGAGCTAGTCTCGTTGCGAGTTGAAAAGCCCGACGTGGTCATGAGATCTAGACTATGTCAGCATCAAATTTAGAACCCGACGTGGTCATGAGATCTAGACCATATCGACATCAAATTTAGAGCCCGACGTGGTCATGAGATATAGACCATGTCTGCATCAAATATAGATCTCTACGTGGTCTAGAGATCTAGATCACGTTGGCTTCAAACTTCGAGGTCTACGGGGTCATGAGATCTAGACCGCATTGGCGTCAAATTTAGAGCCCGACGTGGTCGTGAGATCTAGACCATGTTGGCGCCAAATTTAGAGCCCGGCGTGGTCGTGAGATCTAGACCACGTTGGCGCCAAATTTAGAGCCCGACGTGGTCGCGAGATCTATACCACATCGTGAGACTATGTCCAAGATCTGAGCTAAAATGTTGGAAGTAACAAGGCAAGCCATGTGGGAGAGGCAAGTAACAAGACGACAGTTCCAAGATGAAGAGCAGGCGGTTAACAGAGCAACTGTCGATTATACCACGTGTAAGGACACGTCAGCCACGTCCGAGGAAGAAGGGGAGCAGTTCTTTTGGAAGTTACTCTCATGCAGTTTTTCTACGACGGTTACCACTTCAAGGCTATAAATAGGAGGAGGAGTTGACAGAGAAAGGGGTCGCAAAATTCACACCAGACAATACAATGTCAAATTTTACCCCTTTATTATTTCCTCTACAATTTTAGCCGTAGTCGTAGATCTGGAGCTCTCTCAGAACCTCCATAGGAGTAGGAGTAACTTAATGTAGATCTATCTCGAGAGTCGTGTAAACATCGATCACCCTCGTTCGAACTGTGTTTGAAGAGGTGTGAACCGTGTCTTAGTGATCGTTGTCCAAAAAAGTCAAGGTGCATTAATTCATTTCAACGCAAGTTTTCTCGCTGGAAAACAGTACGTAACCATTTGAATACAACGTACAAACGCCAGTTACAAGTTTATAATACATAGCCAGCGATCGAACCTCATGTAGACAGAACAAAGTAACATGCATGGTACTGGCAAAAAAAGGCTGCTATTGTACACGTTCCATGCACGCAACCTTAAAATTTATTATAAACCTAACATGTAGGCTGCTAGAAATTAAGGATGGCGTTAAACAGTTGAATCTTGGCCCGCAGTTCAATCACTTCAGGAGAGAAAAAAGTGGCTTTACACAATACTCATATTCTAATATGTTTAGAAGTGTCACATATATAAAATAGATATATGTAACATTTTTTACATCACATCATTCACATGTTGGCAAAGTCATTTTACGTCCAAAAGTCGATTTAGAAAAGAACACAATACTGCATGTGGCTTTATGATGAACTGCTGGATCAAGAAAAGAAGGGAGCGGCCCCCTGTTTAATTACATGACAAAAACTACGTACGGTATTGTTTAAGCTTCGTAAACCCTATTGTTAAAAAAAGAGAGTTATTTATGAGTTTTTATTTATTTATAAGCAATGTGTGATGTGAGCAATGCCTGGAAATTTTCTTCTTAACTCATTTGGCCAGTGGGCTGTACTTTAATATATGGTAACGTACGTAATGCTTCCCGTTTAGTAGCTGAAAAGCAATGATTGAAATACCGTACGGAGGTCACAACGGTATGATATATTAGGTTGAAATCATGATTTAATCACGGTTTAACAGTTTCATATCGCTAAATAGTAAATACCGCCTCTATCAATTTTGTATCCGATAGAAGGTTTTTCTGATAGAACCACCGATACGATACGGTTGTTCAATCCTTGCCGAAAGGGCTTGGACATCTCCAACCCAGCTGGCTGCCTTACCTATATAAAGGAAACTGTGCCCATAAACAACAACATAGGGGAAAAAGAAAGATGGAGCAATATTATCACAATAATAACTTGTACCTCAACCTTCTCTTCCTCTTCATCTCCACCATCTTTCTTTCCCTCTCGGCCATCTTCTACAAGCACAAATCCCAATACTACAACCACCCGAACCTGCCACCGGGTCGACCGGGCATCCCTTACCTCGGCGAAACCCTAGACTACCTCTCCACCGGTTGGACCGGCCGCCCGGAAAAGTTTGTTACCGACCGGATCCGGAGATTCTCCTCCTCCGTGTTCAAGACCCACATCATCGGCAAGCCCACCGTCGTCCTCGCCGGAGCGGAAGGCAACAAGTTCCTCTTCACCAACGAGAACAAGCTCGTGGTCGTGTGGTGGCCGGAGTCCGTCAACAAGATCTTCCCCTTCAGCGAGACCACCTCCGTCGGTGAGGAATCCCGCCGGCTGCGGAAGGTGCTGCCGCAGTTCATGAAGCCCGAAGCCCTCCAGAGGTAATATTATTAGAGTATGTGCAGTGGCTCCGGATCCACAAATTTTATATAGGGGTGTCATCTCCTAAAAATTAAGTTAAAATAATAATTAGATAAGAAAATATCTGACTTGTCCAAAGGAAAACAAAGCACATGAGGTTGTTTCTTACTTTGGAAAAATGGTAAAATACAATCGGTGTCCAACAATGCTCTATAAATCTCACTCGATATATCCTACTAGACTAGGGGAGCTCGTAATTGGGTTTAATCGTTAGCTTTTGAAAATAATTGGGATAAAAATAGATTTTTATTATTATATTTGGATTTGAAATACAAGAACAAATGAGTTATAGTCTAATGAAAAATATGTTTACTAATAGTAGCATCGACTGATTGACCCAAGTTCAAATCACATAGGCAACCACTTAAACGTTTATATTTACCCATACACAAACCACTATTGGGGGATTATAATCGTTTTTCCAAATTTTAGGAGTGTCCCGCCCACTTAAATATTTTTTTTTACCTATATGCAAACTACTATCGGGAGTTGAATAATCGTGTTCCCAAAATTTAGGGGTGTTCCGGAATACCCCTAGAGCCCCATGAATCCGCCACTGAGTATGCGTAGTACGAGTAGTATTATGTTATACTACGAGTACTATTATGTAATTGGTCAGAGTTATATTTTTTATAGAGTCGTATAAGTTAAATAATTTCCGAATTAGTATTAGGGTTACTATAGAAATCAGAACTGTCTGACCAATTACATAATAGTACTCGTAGTATAATATAATACTATTTGTATACTACACATATTCTAATAACAATTACCTCATCCATTTCCTCATAATTAATATAACTTTTTTCAATTACATGACAATATTTATAGTATAATATAATACTACTCGTACTACACATACTCTAACAGGTACGTCGGGGTGATGGACGAGGTGGCGCGCCGCCACTTCGCCTCGCTGTGGGAGGATCGCGACGAGGTGGAAGTGCTCCCGCTGGCGAAGAAGTACACGTTCTGGGTGGCGTGTCGGGTGTTCGTCAGCTTGGACGATCCCGCGCAAATTGCGGAGCTCGGCGTGCCGTTCGATGACGTGGCGGCCGGGATCTTCACCCTTCCGTACGATCTCCCCGGGACGCCGTTCAGGAGGGCGGTTCGGGCGTCGAAGTTTATAAGGGAGGAGTATCTGATGGGGATTATTGGCCGGAGAAAGGCTGAGCTGGCGGCGGCGGCGGAGGAGGATGGTAGTAAGATGAAAACGCATCAGGATATATTGTCGTATATGCTGACGGCGACCGACGACGGAGGGAAGCGTATGAGCGAAAGAGACATTGCTGACAAGATACTAGGGCTTCTGGTCGGCGGCCACGACACCGCCGCTGCCACGTGTACTTTCATCGTCAAGTTCTTGTCGGAGTTTCCGGATGTTTATGATCGAGTTTACGAAGGTGCGTCGCCTCTTTTATTTATACTAATTAGGTGCGATGTTGTGTGCATGCATCTCCCGCGCATGAAAACATGAGGAATGCTTAAATTGTTTTTCTTTTATTATTGGTCAATATGTCAAATTGTATATCCTACAGAAAAATACACTTAAAATTTTGTATTTTAAACTAGAGTAAAATTCAAATCATAGATTAAAATCGTGAAATCTTTAAGATTTTAAGGTTAATATTGAAATTCCCACGCATAACACAAGGGATAGTGTTAACCATGCTTATCCCAAATAATACTCAAACAACTAATTTAATTACTTTTATTTTAAAGTAAGTTTGACTACTAAATAAACCAAAAAAAAAAAAAAAACTCATCGGGCTCTGATTGCAACATGAGATCTCATGAAAATCGCTTAATATACTAATTAATAGTTAAGATGAAAAAAATCACCATGTATACTATCTATTTACATTATGATTTATTTTTACTACTATGGTATAGAAGACCTCAATTAACACTCACCTAGAACATCGCGCCACCATACAAACATAAAAGTTCTATTTGTTTTTCCAAAATATATCAAAATGAATATCATTTTGTAGAGTATATTTATTTTGTATGCACAAAAATCGTGAAGCGCAAAGAGTAAAAGGTCTAAAATCGTAAAGCGTAAAATCAAATTGTAAAAGCGTAAGTTTTTTACGCACACTGTAAAATAGCTAAAAATCTGTTAAGTTCGATATATACAATGTAAAAAATGAGTGCACAAATTTTAGATAAGTTAATAACATATGCAATTCATGGTTAAAGTAGAGCAACTCATAGCATCTTAATAATAAGTTCATAAATATAGATCTTAACAATAAGCCACCTCCCCCTCTATGCTAATGAATTGGGGAAGCAGCTGGTGAATTATATTACTCTATTGAAGCTGAAAATGTATCCAAGTACCTGGTATATATCTTTTAATCTCAAATATATCATATTATTTGTGATTTACCTTTATAATACACTTTTGATAATTAATTTCATGAAAAAAATACCCATTTAGTGAACTAGAAGCGTAAAAGCGTAAAGCGTTTTGGTGAACTAGAAGTTTAAAGCGTTTTGGTGAACTAGAAGCATAAAAGCGTAAGCTTTTAAGCTTTAAAGTGAAATTTAGTTTGATTTTATACAATAAAAATTTTACATGGAAACGAAAGCGTGTTGGTGATCTAAAAGCCTAAAATCGTAAGCTTTTAAGTTTTAAAGCGCGATATTGAATTAATATTTGGTAAGGTGAATTCGTCCATTTTAGAAAATGTATGATAAGATATTTTGTATTATCACTCTCAGTCTACAAGATATCATTCTATTTATTTAGGATATCGCTTTCGATGTATCATAAAATTATCATTTATGATTCCAATACTTCTTCAATTTCAAAGCTTACTCTTCGCATAATTTTTTTTTTTTTTTTTTTTGCGGAAAAATATCATTATTGGACAACTTATTGAGATAAAATTCAGGTAGCAAGTTTCAATGAGAAGAATTTTGTTGAAAAAAGGAACAGCATTAGGAATTATAATGTATTATATATAGCTCAATTTACTTTTATCTCGCAAATATACTTAGTGACCTAGTAGAGAAAATGCTAAGCAATTATTATTTGTGTAGAAATTACGGTATATCGTATAAAATTCTGTGCAAGTTTATTTCACAAATTAGGTTTAGTTGGATGAAAAATATAGGTTTAGTTTGGTGAAATACATATTAACTATTAAGAGTTGTCTTATATCTTTTTTTTTTTACCCATTAAATGAAATCGTGGCTACTCCACTGACCATATGTGTGCCTCCATTTTTTTGCAGAACAAATGGAGATCGCGAGAAGCAAAACAGCAGGGGAAGTGTTGAACTGGGAAGACATAAAAAAGATGAAGTACTCGTGGAATGTAGCTTGTGAAGTACTTAGGCTCACTCCTCCTGTTCAAGGCTCGTTCAGGGAAGCCACTACGGACTTCATTTTCAATGGCTTCTCCATCCCCAAGGGTTGGAAGGTATCCTAAGACAATCTGAGTTTTACGGTTATTTCTTAGAAGCGTAAAAGTATAAACTTTTAAACTTTATATTTTCGATTTGACTACATCATTACTCGCGGTAGTTTAATGTATTATTATTATTGTTTTCTTCTTATGGGTAAAAGTGGGATATGTATATATGTGCAGTTGTATTGGAGTGTAGCTTCAACTCATCGGAACGAAAAGCACTTTCCAAAACCAGAGAAGTTCGATCCCAGCAGATTCGAAGGAAGTGGTCCAGATCCATACACGTTCGTTCCTTTCGAAGGAGGCCCCAAGATGTGCCCTGGCCAAGAGTATGCTCGCCTTGAAATTCTGGTGTTCGTGCACAACCTGGTAAAACGATTCAAGTTCGAAACGTTGATCCCCGATGAGAAAATGATTGCAAATCCTGTTGCTGTACCGGCTAACGGTCTCCCTGTTCGCCTGTTTCCTCGTAAGGCTTAGAACCAATAAGTAAATCAAAACACTTGTTGCTTATCATTAAAGGGTACGTCCTTTGTCAACTATGTATCGTGGAATATTTATTTTAATAAATATATCAATAATAAAACATATTGTAGTCATGAGATTGTGATAATAATATTCTCAGTGACTTAAATTTGATTTAATTGTAATGGTTATCTTGTAATGAAAAATATTGTGCCTTCAAATTCTCCAAATTGTGTGACTTTCTATTTCTCCAAATTAGAAAGCAACTAGTTTGGAGGATCTGGTAGAGTTAGTACATAAACTACATAAGACTCACACTAGATATGTTTGACAAAAAAATCTGAAAAAATAATCTTTTGGGATGTTGCAAATATCTTCGAGATCTAAGCGCGATATGTTTAAAAAAGAAATATGAAAAATAATCGAGAAGAGTCAAGAAGTATAATTAGGGGTGTTCAACAGTTCGGTTACTGTTTAAGTAAATGTCAAATTCCCTTATGGTATAACTTTACTCGTACCTTTAACGTTATGGTACAAGTTAAAATTTTACTTTAAAGCACCAATACTTTAAAGTTTAGTAGAAGTGCTCAAGAACAACTTCATTTTTTTAACCTTAAGTAATTTAGTAATTAGTATTGACATCATTAGGTTATAACTTTGAATGGTTTAAAATATTGCGAGGAATGAACCCAATGAAATTTTGGTTTGCATCTTTATTGTAAATGTAACTCTATTTTTGCATAAACAGAGCAGGTGTATGCAGATGGTACATATATGGTGGTAACTTTGTAGTAGACGAAAGTGAAGTTTGGTAAATGCCTAAATGGTGTTTGGTATATTCGTAGTATCATCTATACAAACATTATACCGTATGTTATATTTATATCATCATGAGACATTTCTATACTACCATAGTGTAATTATGTGTACTATTAACACCATGGTATAGACTCGTCATATATGTCTCAAATATTTTTCAAAATAAATCAAAGATGTCATTTTGAAGAATTAAATTAGTCTATTTTCCATGAAAAAAAAATGGAATTGTCAACTTAATAAAAAAAAAACATACGTAGCCCGCTAAATTAGATTGGAAATATTTTTTTTTTAAAGATATGAATATAGAGGTAGAAGGATTAGTGACTGGAAAACCGTATCAAACTTAAATGAAGAAGGGGAGCACAACACAATCAAGCAATCATCATATGTATTCTATAATGGGTCGAACTTGTTTTGATGTGATCAACTAGTTCTTCCAATATCCAGAAAAAGAACAGATCATGTCAATCACATTACAATTAATCACTCACACTGATCAAATTGCAACAAAATGTCGCCATTTACAGCAAACCAGAAACGCAGAACTCTCATTGACCCACGATGTTCACACAAAGAAACACGCAGATGAAATGATCGAATATAGCAAACCGAATTACTCTCATTTCTGCGATCAAACTATAAACTTTAATCTATAAGTGAACTATGAACTCGAGCATCTAATGAATCGAGAAATCAGTCTCCGTGGTCGCTGATTCGCTACAGCAATACAATCGTAAAGCTTGCATGGGGTATGGATATGATACATGGTACCCACCACAACAGATGCCAGGTTACGAGCTGTTAAAGTTTAGGGCAAGATTATGTGATAGACTGCAAAATGGTGAGAAAGAAAAGCAAGTTAGTACCAGATCAGACGTACACCATGTAATCCTCTCCTGGCTTCTGATGGAGCAAAAACCCTGGATTGATAGACTTCTGAGTTTCTTTTTCAATCGGACGGCGAAGGCCTCAACGCGGATTGACATAGAGAACAGGGACCAAACCAGCCATCTTGCCATCTCTTCCAGGACGCTTCTTCTTTACCTGCATATTATTAAGCAAAATTATGTGCAGTGTAGAGTGTTTAAAAATATGTTGCAATACCAACACCTCAATTCTTTTATCCACTCAAGAGTACTCTGTCGTGTAATTACTTACGTAGAACCACCCATCGACCTCGTACTCGATTTCAACCTCTTCCCCGGATGTTAAACTCAACTGCAATAGAAACCATGTGAAGCCAAATTGAAACAACTTAAAAGAAGTACCTCGCAGTTTCTAGTGAAGTCGAAAGGGTTATGGTATTCCAAATGACATACAACCCGCTAATAATCATCCAGTAACTACCTCATCATCTCCGCCTGCAGTAAAGTCATAGAGAGCTGACCCAAATTGAGGGTTCCCAGAGGTGCTGCGGCGTCCTTCATCGTAGGACTCGAAACTGGATGATTCAGGTACAGCCATGGGGTTTTCAAATGAATCGTGTCTTTGCATGACTGAAGATGCATATGATGGCGGTTCTTCTCTAATCTGATAAAAGGAAAACAGGTCAGAATTCCCCAAATCATTTGCAAGATGTAAAATAAAGTCAATGGAGTAGGACCCAGAAACCCCTTACTGGAGAACTTGCACCCTCATAAATTGATGAGGAGCTGCCATATCTGTTGCCACCTGATCTCTCCTGTTAAGAAAAAATGTATCAGTAAACCCACAGAGAGTGTCAAATTTAAGCCGGGCAAGCCTCGACAGTAAAAAATCTGAAACTATGGAATTGGGAGACATCACTTTAGCTATATTTTCCTAGCATATAGTCTCTGAGGTAACTGCTGATGTTCAAAATAATTATTCATCTAAGCCGGGCAAGGCCAAATTTCCCAGAAACCAAATTTTCTTCTAAATATGGAAGGAAGACCTTTATTAACACCATGTCTGGTTGAAAACCATTCTTCAGGTTTCATTTCCTTTTTTCCTTTGGCTGGCTAATTCACTTATGCTTCTATAGAAGAAAGTTAAAAGTCTTATAGGAGGTTGGGCAAAACGTGTTTTACAACTTAGCAATCAACAAAACTGCATGTGCGATAAAGAAGAGTAGACAAATTGGCTTCACAGACAACATACCGAGGTTTGTGATGGCCCATAATTGGTTGGCTTTGAACTGAAAAGTGAAGGATAGTTCATTCCACCAAAGTGCGATGAAATTGAAGTTTCAACGGATCCTATTGAATCAGGGGAAGAGGAACCTGATGACCTAGCATCTTCTTCCTGCAAATTGAAATAACAGTAACATATCACTTCATTTCATCTACAAATTAGGAATTTTTACGCAACCAAGAGAGATGTGAGTCATGATATTATCAATAGAATTGTACCTCTAGTTCTGATGATTCTAAGAGTGTCTTTGCCCACATATCATCATAGCCAACAGAAGGTTTAGAAACAATATTCTCATCGTCCACATCAGGGGCATCCGTACCCATCCCAGCAAGAAATTCATTTACCTAGCATAAGGCAGAACCGGAACTTACACAAAACATAATGTAAAGAAGCAAAACCAGGCCATATGCAAACTTTGCAATTCAAGTTACGAAGTGTAAGAAGTATACGCTTAAATGAAGGCCTTATCATTTCAACTACAAAGCTTCACCTACCAGTCAACATAGTAGCAACTATGGAAACATGCAAGACAGAGAAGATTAGTCTAGTTACGTGAAGATGCAAAAACTACTACAGGTAGTCCACAGGCCCAGCTAGGTCGAAATGAAAACCTAAACACATATTATTAGGTTTTGATTCTATAGTTAATAGCCATGATTCAAATGTCCATTTTTCCCACTCAAGGAAATAAATCCCCAATCCGCCCCCCTCTGCCCCCGCACCATGTCCAATTTTATGAACAGCCAGGATACTACGCGAAGTCAGTCCCTCAATTCTGGAAGTAGAACTCATTAGAGGGAGTCAAGAGGTGCTGCAAATTCTTCCCTACATATGTTAAGGTCTGGATACTCCTTAACCTTTTCTCGAACCAGTCATTTTCATATCAAACACAATAAAATAAGTTGTCAAGCCTCTTACCCTGCTCATTGCAGGTGCACTGTTTCCCATCAAGCCGTCATCTCCAAGATTTGCTGCCCAAGCATTTACCAGGTCATCGTCAAGTCCATCAGATTCGGCAGGAGCTGGCTTAGATTCATAAACCAGATCAGAGATGCCGGTTGCAATGACAGCTGGATCACTCAAGCCAGTTGATGCAGTTATGTTGTGCTTTGTACGATACACATCAATGAGTTTTGCACTGTGGAAAAATGAAAGCCAAACTCCAATTATCAGGAATTAAATGTCAATATTATTGCTGAAATTACAATAAAGAACCACAATAGGATCATAAAAAAATCAAACACTATCTTCGTCTTTAGAAAATGTGAAGGTTCTTCAGGAACCTGTTCAGCCACAAAGCTCTCTCAACATCCCAATTACAACTTTGAAGCTTTTTACCACAGGCAAAATGAACTAATAAATCGGTTATTATGTGTAGGCTGTAGAGAACCATCTAACCATACAAATTACTCAGTCATTCATTCATCGAAAATTTTGCATGTAAGAAAGATCAAAAGATCATATGTGAAGTTATCATATGCCAATAAGTTCGGAAGCAAAGGGTTTTCAACATTGCCGTAATGGAAGTTATCAAAGTTCTTGAAAAGCTGATGTTCCTTGAGTACATCAAAGAACAATCACCTTAGGGTCTTTGAAAAGCAGTTTACAATGTTTATCCTGGTTGCAATTATAACCGTTGCTTTGCTGAACCCCCTATACTTCCACTAACAATGATGGTACAGGGACTGGAAAAAAGGCATTGAAGAAGCTGGCTCCTGGTTAGGAAACCCGTGCCATCCACTGGTTGTGTAGCCATACACACTTCAACTATCCAAATCAAAAGAGTTGGCTCCTAAGTTTGACAGCTACAGTTCTCTCTCAACCTAGGTGATTCCATGGACAACTATCAGGAACCCAGAGAAAACTCAGGAAACTGGCTTTTTAATTCCTATGCTGTGACCTGATCCTAAACCAAGGCACCATTATAATTGACATATAGCTCGGTCTTTATAACTTGAAGAAAACAGAGTTACTTTTTTCAACTCATTACTCTCATTTCTTTACTTCCTTTGTCCTATACCTCATTATCACCGCTCACTGTTACAATTAATCCATGCATCTACACTTCTACGCAGATGCCCTTTTCAACTCTACGTGAATTACATTGTGTACCATCCATTTCTACCAGTTCCAGCACAGTTGTCA